GCACTGAACAACATGGTTTGAACCATGTGGGTCTGTTTATATATGGATTTTTTACAGTACAGTAGTGTACGTGTATCTTCTCTTCCTTACAGTTTTCTGAGTGATATTGTCCTTTCTCTAGCTGACTTTATTGTAAGAATATGTACATAATAGGGTTGCCTGGGTGGCTCTCTTGTTAAGCGTCTGCCTTTGGCTTGGGTCATGATCCCAGGATCCTGGGATTGAGCCCCATGTTGGGTTCCCTTCTCACCAGGAAGCCTGTTTCTCTCTCTCTCCCCCTGTTTGTGTTCCCTCTCTCGCTGTGTCTCTCTGTCAAATAGTTAAGTAAAATCTTTAAAAATATCTATGTACATAATACATATGACATACAAAATATGTGTTGACTTGTTTATGCTATTGGTAAGGACTCTGGCCAACACTGGGCTATTAGTAGTCAAGTTCTGGGGAGCCAAGAGTCATGTGCAGATTTTCAACAGTGTGTGGGTCAGTGCCCCTAATCCACACAGTATTCAAGGATCATCTCTGCCATATTCGTGGGAAAACTCTGCTCTCTTGCCCATGGTTTTTCATGGCTTCCAGTATAAATAAACGTTGAGCCTTTTGCCCTTTCTTCGCTTCCAGGTCCCCCATGGTGTTGGGTAATTCAGACTTAAGAGGGAAGAGGATGCCAGATAATTAATCTTTTATATCCATTTCCTTTATTGCACAGAGCCAGGTAAACCCTGCTAATGATAAATTTATTTTTAAAGTGCAACATTTTATATTTTTACCTCCCAAATAGATCAGACTTTGATACTGAGTTGTTGTTTTGCTTGATGAGATCCAAGCATGACTTATCTGTCGCTCTGAACCCTTAATAGAAAACAGGCTCCCCCCTTTACCCCACCCTGGCCTTACTCATGCTGTTCAAACCCAGGATTGCCCAAGGTCTGGACAAGGCGAATGCAGGGCACCCACCACACAGACGGAAGGAATTTGAGCATTCAGTAAATACCATGCATGAGCATAAGAAAATGCCTACATAGACACCCACATTCCTAGCAATCATAGCTGTATTTAATTATAGGGAAATGAAATGAAACTTAATTACATAATTTTGTCAATACCTGGATCATTGCTGCGACTCCCTGTAAAATGTAAAGGAGTCATCGGTAACCCGCCAGGGACCTTGTGCCTTCTGCCTCTGGGAGGGACTGTAGAGAGGAGCTCGGGGTGCTCCGTTCCCCAGGGCTGGTGTGGCCACGAGGCAGACGGCCAGCTCTCTGGGCCATATGTCTGAGACGTCTCGTGGAGAAGCCCACCCTGCCGCGCCATCTCCCCGATCACAGCCGTGCCAAGGTGTTTGCACTTTGGATGGGAAATTTCTAGAGGCCTCTTGTGGTTTGGGGGTGGGAAATGCAGGGGGAGGCGATTCCGAGGTTCACGGGTGGGTAACAAGAGCTGTTTGCTCTCTGAGCTAACTCCTGGGCCTTTGTTGTGCCTCTGGCTTGAAGCTTCAGCTCCCTTGTGCCATTGAAGGGGAGAAGAGTGAGTCTCACGGTACTCAAGCTTCACAGCACCAACATAAGGTGGCCCAGATCCCTCAAGAATGTTCTGGATTGGGGCGCCTGGCTGGCTCCGTCGATGAAGCGTCTGCCTTCAGCTCAGGTCGTGATCCCAGAGTCCTGGGAGCGAGCCCCGCTTTGGGCTCCCTGCTCAATGGAAGTCCGCTTCTCCCTCTGTCTCCTGGTCCCCCCGCTTGTGCGCTCTCCCTCGCTCGCTCTCTCTCTCTCTCCCTTAAATAAATAAATAAATAATTTTTAAAAATGAATAGGATCAGGACTATCTCAGGTTTTCCACTCTGCACGGATGGTATCCTTCCAGAATGGACACTTCAGCAACGTCTACCCAGTTCATGAGCCAACAGCCATCTCTTTCTCTTGAGACTGTCCTCCTCTCCTGCACAGGGTGGACCCCAGGACCTGTGTCACTTGCCATGTGGTCAGGCACAGGAAGGGACACAAGTGGGCTGGAACCATAAAAATTAAGAACTGGGAGCAGAGAGTCATGAGTCCCGGGAGGAAGTGTTCTGGGGCGGCCGTCCTCCGCCGTCATGCGGGCTGAGGAGTAGAGAGTGGAAAGCAGTCTAAGAGAGAGACTCCAGGTTCCAGACCCTTCTAGAAGCTCAGCCACATCTTGCGCTTGGGCTCCTCAAGACTTTTTCTATCCTTATGATAAATCCCTCCCTCCGTTTTTTTTTTCTTAGTTAAAAATGGAAAACAAGGAATAAAGGCTATTGGTTTTTCCAGGCTGCTCCATGTCACAGTCTGGCCCGGTGTCACCGCCTTCCTCTCCCCTCTGGGCGGGAATAACTCTCCACATGGCTTCTTTGAGCCAGGTAACAGAGGCAGGCATTGGCTACATGAGGCCAGTTAAAAATGCGTGTGCTCGGGCACCTGGGTGGCTCAGTGGGTTAAGCCTCTGCCTTCGGCTCAGGTCATGATCTCAGGGTCCTGGGATCGAGGCCCGCATCGGGCTCTCTGCTCAGCGGGGAGCCTGCTTTCTCCTCTCTCTCTATGCCTGCCTCTCTGCCTACTTGTGATCTCTCTCTCTCTGTTTCAAATAAATAAATAAAATCTTAAAAAAAAAAATAAAATAAAAATGCGTGTGCTCTAAGGAGGAAGGACCCAGTGCTAGCCTTCTCCCTAACAACCTCCCAGAGGAGTAAGGTCTTCTCTGTTTCAAGGTCAGGCCAGAGAGCGCCCTTCTTGCAAAACCAGAATGAATGTGCTTCTCTGGTGCCCAGAAAGCAGGAAATACGGCACCGCCACAAGGGCTGGCCTGATGCAGGAGGGAGGCCCTACATGAGGAAGGATTAACAGAGATAATCTGCCTAGTGCACATACCACCCAGGGCCTGCCCTGTATTTCTCTAGTGATGAACGTCTCCTCCACCTTCTGCCTGTAATAACAATGCCCACAGTGTCCTCCGCAGGGGAAAGTCTGTGCCTTATTCAAATCTGCATTCCCGGGACCCACACAGCATGTTGCACTGAACATCTGTTGAATGAGATGTTCTACGTCTTACATATTTCAGAGTCTGTTCTATTCCGCTCGTTTAAATCCATTTCCTGGTGGGTCCAGAGAGCCTTCCGAAAGCTTCTGTGTGATGATGTGGCATATGGTAGTGGGCTTCGTGGGAAGGGCTGCTGGGTGTGATTGCTGCCACCTCCAAGTTTGCGACTAGGGAGGAGTTTGACCTTGCCCTTGAATGAACACAATCCCCAGACATGCCCAGTTCGGCAGCCCGTAGGTTTCTAGTCCTGTCATTTGTCCCAGGAGATGGAGCTTTGGGTCAGGCTACCTCCCATGGCTCCTTCATGCTCGTCCATTCCCCAGCCCATGTCTGGGTGACAACTTGACGTCTATCTGTGTGATGATCTGTTGTCCCCTTTACATCCTGGGCTCCGTCAGGGGAAGGAAGATACCCCAGTAACTAGCACACCACCGCACATAGGAGGCGCTCAATAAATATTTGCCGCATAAAAGAACAAATCAGTGGACACGGAGTTGGGAGGTGGTAAGTCAAAGCTGCAACCAGAGAAGGAGGAGACCAGACTCAGGAGACCTCCACCTTGCACAGGACAAACCATGAGTGACTGGGAGCAGAGCACCAAGGCAGTGCTGAGAAGCCGGGAACTGGTTTGGCTGAGCGCGTATTTTGTGCCAGAGGCTACACCCGTGTTAATGCTCACAGAGACTTCTTGCAGAAGCAAAAGGCAGCAACCCATTTTACAGATACGAAAACCGAGGGGCAGGTGGGTTAAGATTTCTCCCAGCCACACCAGCTAAGACATGGAAAGTGGTAGGGATTCTTGCTCAGGTCTCTCTGGCTACACATTTCATGTTCTCTCTCCTTCTCTTTCTGTGGCCTTAGTAAGTCTGAAATATAGGGCTCGGAAGAAGAATGGTAGAAGCAGACAAAGGAGAGTTACTTGGGACAAGAGGGGTCACGGTGAGCCAGGGAGGCCAAGGATGTCAGGGAAAGGAGCAGGAGTCAAGGACACCTGGAAATCCACGAGGGTGATGGCTATGGGTCCCCAGAAAGGACGGTTCTTTTTCCCATGGTCCCCAGGAATCCCCCGAAAACCTGTGTAGCACAGAGAAGCCACCCTGAAGTCCAGCTGGGGAAACCTGCGCAGGGAGGCCCCACGCTTTCCTCAGCGGGATACCCAATGCTAATTTGCATAAATGAAGGGATACTTTTGGCAGCCTCAGGCAAAAGGGGGAAATGAAAAGAAAAGAAATCTAATCCTCGGAGCCAAAAACCGGGGGTGCCAGAAGCCAGACCAGGGACCCCGCACCGGTCTTCTCCCACTGCTAGAAGAAAGCATGGCCGGGCTGGAATTCAGCTCCTGTGCCCCCAGACCCTTGTCCCAGTCCCTATCTCTGACCTGAAATTCTCCAGTAGCTTCTCCTGGACAAGAAGACGAATGACAAAGTCCAAATTCCTCAGTCTGACCTACAAGGCAGATGCTAATCAGGTTCTGCCTACCCGTTTGGGACCGTCCCCTGGCCAGACAGAGCCCCTTCCCTTGTGCCCACCGAGTGCACTTGCTCCCCAGGGCGAGCCCACCACGGTCTCTAGGGGCCAGAGGCAAGTTTCTAGACCCATTGCCAACAGGTGCAGCTTAACCTGGGGGTATGGACGGTGACACTCCTTGCCTTCACGTCTTACGGAAACTGGTTTGAAGTCTACCCAAGGCACCAGAAAAAATACTAACAACCTGTGGATACGATCCTTGGCCTTCATCCAGATTTCCGTCTGTCCCTAGGGATCAGCACACGCTGGACAAGAAGAGGTCTCCAGGGTTGCTCCACAAGACTGCATGGCAGGTCATCACTGCAGGAGGAAGGACAATGGCCCCAGGGGCGCTGTCAGCACAGGAGAACGGCACAGAGGCCCCCCCAGCCCAGGCTACCACCCACCCCACCCAGAAGGACACCGGAGCAGAGGCCAGTGAGAAGAAGGACCCCATGCAGGACACGCTGCCTCCGAAGGCGCGGGACAGGGCGGTGGCCTCTGATGGGGCACAGACACTGTCGCTGAGGAGTCAGGACCCCAGGACCATCAAAGGAAGGCAGGACCAGAACAAGGAGCCCACAGCCACTGGGACAGAGCCCCCAAAGCCTCAGGGCAAAGCACAGACCACAGCAAGGACACCTGTGCCAAAAAGTCAGGCCGAGGCACTGACCATGCCAGGAGCAGGGTCCACAGGGAGGACAGTGAAAGGAGTGACCACAGTGGTTGTCCCCCACCGGGAGACAGCCCGGGCCACGCCACCCTCCACTCCCTTCTGGAACCGCACCACAGAGAGAAGGCTAAGTCTACAGGCCAGCAACTTCAAGTCTGAGCCCCAGTGGGATTTTGAGGAACAATATAGCTTTGACACGGGGGCCCTACAGTCGGTGAGTCTGGCCATGGCCTCCCTGCTCTGGAGCCCCCTGGAGACAGCCCCACCACCTCCCTGACCTCCCAGGCTCTGCCCTCAGGCTCTGCCTTATCCCCCCCCCCCCCCCGTCACAGTGCCCTACCCTACCCTGCTTTGACCCCCACCTTCTTTCCTTAAGTGTTCGAAGTGGGAGGGGAAGGCAGGTCCCAGATCCTAGCCCAGGCAGTGTGGGAAGGGGTGAGGGAGAGGAGCCCTGCCCGGGAGCCCCCCAGAAAGTCTGGAAGGTCACTGAGCAGGGGGAGAGACGTCTACCTGCTCTGGGGCCCTCCTTGGGCGGGGGAAGGGGCAAGGGTTGAGAGGGGGCAAGGAGGGACAGGACTAATAGCTGAGGAACCCCAGCCTGATACCGACCCTGATTCGTGGGAATGCCTTGGCTTCGCCCGCCTTCCCCCTCTTCCGTCCCTAAGAAAAGCAGCCTGGGCCCACGGCCTCGGGGGGGAAACCTTCAGAATACGTATGTTTGCATACAGACCTGCAGCCAGGCCCCGGCCAGCGCTCCAGGCTCTCCCGCAGCCCCGTCCCCCTTCCACCCACCAGGGTGCATCCCCTACAGCCCCAAGAAGGGCCCTCGGGGACCCCTGGGACCCTCAGGGCTCCAGCAGCCAGGACAAGGGCGAGGAGGACCAGCGGGCCCTCCGAAGACGATGGGAGAGGCTGCAGAGGTGGCGCCTTCTGGACGTTGAGGCCCGCTTTCTGGCCCTGCCCCCAGCCCGGCCCCTGGCCATGGCCTTCCTGGGCCTCTGCCTGCCTGACCCACCCTCCTGCATGTAGAGCTGCCCCGACTCAGTGAAGGTCAAGGCCTCCAAGTCACCCTGGCTGCGGAAGCTCTTTCTGGCCAACCTCACCCTCTTCCTGGATTCCAGCCACTTCAACCAGAGGGAGTGGGAGCGCCTGGAGCACTTCGCACCGCCCTTCGGCTTCATGGAGCTCAACCACTCCCGTGAGTCTGCCCCCCCCGCCCCGCGGACCCTGAGCCTCTGAGCCTCTGGCTCTGGTCCAGCCTCTTCCCTGGGGGGCCCCCTCTGGCGCTGGGAGAGATGGTGGGCCGCCCCCCCCCCACCCCTCCAGGGCTCTGAGCAGAGCCCCTCGTTGCAGTGGTGCAGAAGGTGGTGAAACGCTTCCCTCCGGTGCCCCAGCAGCAGCTGCTCCTGGCCGCCCTACCCCCCGGGAGCTCCCAGTGCATCACCTGTGCCGTGGTGGGCAATGGGGGCATCCTGAACAACTCCCACATGGGCCAGGAGATAGACAGCCATGACTACGTGTTCCGGTAAGCGGTCCCACCCAAAGCGCCCCATCCCGACTGGGAGATCCAGGAGGGTGTTCTACGCCCCAGTCCAAAAGGTGGAAGGCCTGGGCTGTCCAGAGAGTTTCCCTTTATACCTGCTGCCTCCCCGTCTCTCCTTGCCTTCCCCACTTGCCTCCTTGCCTTTCCCTCGTGCACTCACGGGGCCTGTCCTGTGAGGCTCTGTCTGCCCGTAGACTGAGTGGAGCTATCACTAAGGGCTACGAACAGGATGTGGGTACCCGGACGTCCTTCTACGGCTTCACCGCCTTCTCCGTAACGCAGTCCCTGCTTGCCTTGGGCGGTCGGGGTTTCCTGCACGTGCCCCTGGGGAAGGTGAGCAAAGAGGACCGGGCCTGGCCACACACACAATCTGAATGGGGAGCACGAGCGGAGAAAGGGAGCCCGGCGTCCCATGTCTGGAGTCTGGCTGGCACAGACTCTGGCTGGGCACGGGCAGGGAGGATGGGCACACAGGCCTGCGGAGGGCAAGTGGGCAGGCTGGTATTGGAGCCAGGTGCCCCCCAGCCCGGGGTCCTGAAGGCAGGACTTCCAGAGCCGCTGTCCTTGGTCCTCAGGATGTCCGCTACCTGCACTTCCTGGAGGGTACCCGAGACTATGAGTGGCTAGAAGCGCTGCTTCTGAATCAGACGCTGGTGAAAAGCCTTCCATGGTTCAGGTACCCACCGCCCCTCCCTCTCCCCCGGCCGAGCTGCGTCCCGGGCGGCTGTGAAGGGCTGGGCCGGTGGGGACCACCTTAGCGATCACCTGGAGAGGGGCCCCCCCCTGCCATGCCCCTGGCCCTGACTTGGCCCACGTCGGGAAGGTGAACCACCACCGCCACCCACAGGCGCCGGCCCCAGGAGGCTTTCCGGGAAAGCTTGCAGATGGACAGGTACCTGCTGATGCACCCAGACTTGATGCGCTACATAAAGAACAGGTGAGAGCAGAGCGGCCGGCGCGTGTGGAAGGCACCGGGTGCCTCGCGTCCCTGCGCCTCCTGACGGGGCTATTTCCCAGGTTTCTGAGATCGAAGACCCTGGACGCTAAACACTGGAGAATCTACCGTCCCACCACGGGAGCCCTCCTGCTGCTCACGGCCCTTCAGCTCTGTGACCAGGTGAGACTCTACGGTGGGAGCAGCTGGAGAAGCAGCTGGGGGGTCCCTGGACTGGCCCCTTGGGGGACCACGGCTGGGGTGGGGGAGGGGTGTGAGTGTGCATGCACACACGTGTGCAAGTGTACACCAGGGAGCCTGCGCCCAGCCCCCTAGGTCGAAGGGCCTCCCAGCCCCCCAATAACACGTAGCCCATGAGCACAAGCCTGGAAGGGAGTGACCTCAGGCCTCATTTCTCCTCCAACCTTCATGTAGGTGAGCGCCTATGGCTTCATCACCGAGGGCCACGAGCGCTTTTCTGACCACTACTATGACAAGTCCTGGAAACGAACCGTCTTTTACATCAACCATGACTTCCCGTTAGAGAGAACGCTCTGGAAGCGGTTGCACGATGAAGGTGTCATCCGGCTGTACCAGCGGCCCGTAATTTCCAAACCGAAGATGTGACTGGGGCCTGGGCCGCTGCGGTCTCATGGGCCGTTCCGTTCCAAGGCACGGGCAAGGTGGGAGCCTTGAGACTCTAACCGCCGTTCTCCCGGAGCTCAGGCCAGCCTCCTGGCCCCTCCAGACCCCGTCCCCCCGGGGAACTCGGGCACCGAGGAGGAGACACGTTTAAGACGGCAAATGACCAATCGAGGCCTTGGAGACCTTGGAACATGGATGCTCAAGGGAGGGAGGACTCCCGTCTTGAGACCCAAGAATTTGAACTAAATGGAGTGATGACGGGCCCACACCGCCCACTGAATCTCACCCTTCACCATCCAAAAGCTACCTGACACTGGCATGGAAAAGCCCCAACCTAGGAGACGAGACATGGAGGTTCGATTTCAAATTCCAAATCTGGTACTTAGCAGCTGTGAAATCTTGAAGGCCTTACTTAATTTCACTAGGGATTGTCTACAGGACCCTTCCTCCTGGGGCTTATCTGATTCTAGAAGGATCTGCACCTTTCCTTGTCTTTGAGCTCTTTGACAACTCTCTGGGTTGCAGAAAACGGATAGTAATAAGAATAATTCTTGCCCGTGAAAATGCAAATAAATCTTGTACAGTCAAGAGGCAAGTGATGACCCCCTGGGGGCAGTGACCTGTTCTGTACAAACACGCAAATTCATGTTCGCGTTCCTGACTGCCTGTGTGTCTGTCTGTACTCGAGGTTCTCCTTTGAACCAGTTTTTGCATCTTACTGGTTTCTTCATTAGTTAACCAGTTAATAAAATCCTTGACATGCGTTCATTTTATATTTGTATGAGAGTTACCGTTCTATCCTTGAAAAAACATCTTCTATCATGTCCTGAGGCCACTGTTTTATAATCCGTAGCACGATTTTTGGGGTACCCATTCCACAATGATTTAAAAAAATTACTCTCTGTAAAAACCTGAGGCAATAAGGACCCAGTTTCCTCCCCTTTCGTTCTCCATCCTCCCTCCAGCCTGCACTTCCTCAGACCTCATGTTGAGAACCCAGAGCAAGCCAAAGTTTTTTCGGCTCATCTTATCCCCTCGAGCTCTAGCTACAGGATTTGGACTCTGAAGCCCAGAAGAATTCTAAAGATCCCAAACTGAATAAAGGCCCCCCAGTGAAGGACATGGAGGGCGTGGAAGGAAAAAAAAAAAAGACAACAAGAAAAGAAAAGTAAGCTGTCTTGTAGACCTCATGCTCAAGGTTCAAAAGCTAATTTAATGCAGGTAGGACAGGATTTGCTTTGTTCAGAAAGGCTGCAGTACCAGCTCTGGGCAGCAGGTGGCAATATCTTGCACACTCCCCCTCCACCCCACCACCTCCCTCTGCCCCGTTTCTGGAATGCTCCGCGTGTCTTTTTCACGTTTTCCCAGCTGTTCTTACATGTTTATTCCTCCGTGTGAATTTTAGTATCTGTTTAGGATCTAGGGAAAAAAATTTTTGGTATTTTAATTGGAATTGCATTCGATTTATACATTTCCCCGGGGAAGAATGAATGGATGTATCACATCGAGTCCTCTTTTCCAAGAGCAAGAGATGGTTCTCCACTTCTCCAAATTTGTGTCTTTCAGTATTTTAGTATTTCCACAGATTTCATATATTCCTTGTTGAATGCACTGCTCAGTATTTTATCTTGTTTGTTGCTGTTCTAAATGGATTTTCTCTTACATTAAATCCTCTCCCTGGTAACTGTTGGTGAAGGGTATGATATATTATCATATCATCGGCATATAGATTATTTTCTAATTCTTTTTTTTTTTAATTTATTTATTTGACAGAAATCGGAAGTAGGCAGAGAGGCAGGCAGAGAGAGAGGAGGAAGCAGTCTCCCCACTAAGCAGAGAGTCCGATGCGGGGCTCGATCCCAGGACCCTGGGATCATGACCCGAGCCGAAGGCAGAGGCTTTAACCCACTGAGCCACCCAGGTGCCCCTATTTTCTAATTCTTTATGCCTCTGATGATCTCTTTTCTGCATCTTTTGACTGGTACATCCGGAGTGAGCTAACACAACAGTTGACTTCACTTTGGATCCAAATAAATGAGGCTCAACCTTTATGTTTGGGTAGCCTGAATTTAAATTTGAGGAGGTAGGTTCAGAGGTCGTCTGCTGATAGTATATGATACAATATGCTATATGGTGTTGATAGAGTTAGGTAGCAGTGATGTGGGAAACAAAGGCAAAAGAAAAATAAAGTTTCCTTACTACTTACAGCCCACTGACAAGTCCTTGAAACAGAGTGACTTTCCTCTAGGAATGCAGCTGCCTCGATGTTAATACTTTGCTAAGGATAAAGGCAATCTTAGCCCAACCCCCAGGAACCTGTAAGTCCACTTTAACTTATAAAAATAACTTGGGGGGCGGTGCCTGGGTGGTTCAGTGGGTTAAACCTCTGCCTTTAGCTCAGGTCATGATCTCAGGGTCCTGGGATCGAGCCCCACGTCGGGCTCTCTGCTGGGCAGGGAGCCTGCTTCCCCCTCTCTCTCTGCCTGCCTCTCTGCCTACTTGTGATCTCTCTCTCTCTCTGTCAAATAAATGAATAGATAAATCTTTAAAAAAAAATAATAACTTAGGGAACTTCCTTTATCTCTACCGCACAAGATGCATGTTGGCATCACCCCCAAGCATATGACCCACTGATAAACATCTGAGGAGTCTCATGACTGAGTTTTTACTAAACACTAATAAATGACCTTTTTTTTTTTTTTAAGACTTTCTTTATTTATTTGACAGACAGAGATCACAAGTAGGCAGAGAGGCAGGCGGGGGGTGGGGGGAAGCAGGCTCTTTGCTGAGCAGAGAGCCCCATGCAGGGCTCGATCCCAGACCCTGGGATCATGACTGGAGCCAAAGGCAGAGGCTTTAACCCACTGAGCCACCCAGGCACCCCATAGAGTTAGGTAGCAATGATGTGGGAAACCTTTTCTTAAAATTAGCCAAGCTCCTCAGGATCCTGGAAACCTTGTTGTCAAAATACCTGGGAGGCTATGCTGTGCCTAACCCCCTCCCAACTTGAAAGTTTATAATGGGCCGCTCCTCGTGACCCCAGTGCACCTCTTCCTGCCCACAGGTCCTGTCTCATGGCTTTAATAAAACCACCTTCTTGCACCAGAGACGTCTCAGGAATTCTTTCTTGGCCATTGGCTTTGAACCCTAAAGTCTCTCCTACATCAGTAGGATATAAAATTAACACAGAAATCAACTGCCTTTTGACCCAAAAATCCTCTCTTTAGGAATTTACCCTGAAGCTTTATCTCCAACAATACAAAAATAAATAGGCACAAGGTGGTTCCCTGCAGCGTTGTTCAAAATTGCACACTATTGGGAACTGCTGTGCTACTTCAACATAAGAGACATAAACGTGCAGAACGGTACAGCCACACAATGGAGGACTGAACAGCCAGAATAAAGTGAAGGAGATCTCTGTGAACCGACATGGTGTGGTTGTTATGGTATATTGTTAATTGTTTTCAAAACGTAAAGACAAGGGGCACCCGGGTGGCTCAGTCAGTTAAGCATCTGACTCTTGTTTTCTGCTCAGGTTGTGATCTCAGGGTTGTGAGATGAGCCCCATGTGGGGCTCTGTGCTCAGAGTGCAGTCTGCTCGTCCCCCTCCCTCTGTTCCTCCCGCTGTTCACTCTATCAAAAACAAATAATTGGTCTTTTTTTTTTTAAGATTTTATTTATTTATTTGACAGAGAGAAATCAGAAGTAGGCAGAGAGGCAGACAGAGAGAAGGGGGAAGCAGGCTCCCCACTGAGCAGAGAGTCCAATGCGGGGCTGGATCCCAGGACCCTGGGATCGTGACCTGAGCCGAAGGCAGAGGCTTAAACCACTGAGCCACCCAGGCGCCCCATGGTCTTTTTTTTTTTTTTAAGTAAAGAGAAAAGAGTATAGCATTTATACATTTTACATAGGAAAGAAGAAATCAAATATACATGTACCTGCTTATTTTTGCAAAAAGGAAACATGAGGAAAAAATACCAGAAACCAGTAAGACTGGTTACCTAAGTGGGGTGTTGGGAAGGAAAATTTTTTATTTACCCTTTAACAGTTCTTCTGGCTGGTCTAAGAATGAAATTGACATGACACAGAGTAATAGGAGAAAATCTAATTTAATTTCATATGTACAGGAACCCCACATACATACAGGAACCCCACTTTGAGAGGCTCAAAGACAGAAAGGTAAAATGAGGTATATATGCCCTGGATGTCATTTTGGAGAGGTGTTGTTGGGGTCTGGAGCCAACAGCCAAGGAAGAATTCTTGGGACATCTTTGGTGCAAAAAATGTGATTTTATTAAAGTACAAGAAAAGGACCCGTGGGCAGACAGAGCTGCTGCACTGGGGTTGTGAGGGGTGGCTGATTATATACCTGTGAGTTGAGGGACATAAGGAAAAAAGGATACTTCCAAAAAGACTTTCATCTGTTAAAGAAGACTCACAGGATACTGGAGGCCTTGCAATATATTGTTGAGCTAAGCCTGTTTTTCCTCTAGCAAAGCATCAACTTTAAGACAGTTGAGATTTTCCTAGAGCAGTGTTATATGATGAGGGACACAGAGGCAGAAGAAAAATTATTAAATTTCCTTACCTACTGACAAGCCCTTAAAACAGGCAGACTGACTCTCCTCTAGGGACTCCACTACCCCCACCTTAAGGCTTTGCTAAGGGCAAAGGACAGTCTTAGCCTGATCGACCCCGTAGCCCCAGCCAGGATCCTGTAAGTCTACTTTTTTTTTTTTTTTTAAGATTTTATTTATTCACTTGACAGAGAGAGATCACAAGTAGACGGAGAGGCAGGCAGAGAGAGAGAGAGAGAGAGAGAGAGAGGAGGAAGCAGGCTTCCTGCTGAGCAGAGAGCCCGATGCGGGACTCGATCCCAGGACCCCGAGATCATGACCTGAGCCGAAGGCAGCGGCTTAACCCACTGAGCCACCCAGGCGCCCCTGTAAGTCTACTTTAACAATACCTTTGGAAACTTTATT